TCAATTATTAATTACAAATAATCAATTATTATTACTATTTATTTTAAATCATTTTTATTTATATCAACATTTATTACGCTATATTTTTATTTACGATTATCTTATAGAGCTTTTATATTAAAATATTTTGAAAATAATTGAAATAATAATTCACTTTTTATAAATTTAAAAATAAATATTATGATTCTTCAGTAGATTTATTTTTTAATCTGCTCAATTTTTTTCTTTTACTAGTTTATTAGTTTTTAATTAAAGCTTTACGGTAAAAAAATTATTAACCTTCAAAGTTATAAATATTATATAAGAATAATCTTGTAAGCTTTAGCAATTTTTACTCCTTTAGAATTGCAGTCTAACGTCGTTTTTAGCTATAAAACGACGTTAGCTATAAAACGACGTTATAAAAGTTAATCCTACTAAATAAATTTAGTATTTATTGCCTAAACTTTAGCCATTTAATCGCGACAATGATTATTTTTTACAAATCATAAAGACGTTGGAACGTTATATTTCATTTTTGGAACATGATCAGGAATAATTGCAACTTCCTTAAGAATTTTAGTACGAGCCAAATTAGATCACCCAGGAGCATTAATTGGAGATGATCAAATTTATAACATAATCGTAACAGCTCATGCATTCGGAAGGACGTTCAAAGCACACGCAAGGACGGTAGGATGCACCCACGGATAGAGGAGTGCAAAAACCAGCACAGAGAGAATCATACGCTGTACACATCCAACATTTATCGATCTCTTGGTCACTTGAGTTCCGAAAATAAAGTATTATCCAGACTATGTCCGCTCTATCACTGGCTAGTGTAACATATATCTTGCGCGACTTTGAGTCGCAACGAGAAAGGATTTGCCGCGGCCTTCGGTAGTCGAGAATATCCATATATATTGAGGCTATGAAGAAATGGGCGAATTTTGTTTATCCCGTTCTTCGTATAAAAGCCACGAAAAGCGTTTTTAAAACATTTCATATCGACTTTCCTAATATGCGGACTTAGAGGAATAACTAAAGCTTTTTGTATTTAAGATTGCATTATCGGTGACCGCATTATATTCTCTTACGTTATAGAAAAAAGTTGAAAGTGCGTAAAAAAATTGCTTTTTCTTAGAAACCATTATAGTATAAACTTTTGAAAGTACTACATACATATACCTATTCATAAGATATATATATGTATTGTTTGAACAATTGCAGTAATGGTTCATTGTCATCGTCGTGGCTCAGAGGCAATTGTTGGTGACTTGTCACATACGTTTCTCTATGAACAAGGTAAGAAAAAGTACAAGTAAGAAAATTATATTCGGTCGTGACCGAATCTTTTATACCCATTACCGTTATCCTGAAGCAGACAAAAGAAGTAAAAGAACTAAATTTTCATGGAGTAGGCGCGGCTGATCTTTCCTATTTAAGAAATGAAAGTATATGTCGCATGGGCATGTCCTTGGAAAACTTTAAGTCACTTCCAAATTATTTTGCGTATTTATACGTGATATCTTCATCGTTACCACAGATACTTCACAGTTGCGTAGACAGACAGATGGACTGACGAACGGACGGACATATTTAGATGCAATCCAGTTTTTGAAGCTTGGTTTTGTGTATTATAAAGGTATTGAAAAAAAAATTAAATTTTCATACACTATAATATCGGGTAGGCGGGGTCAATTTATTTCAATTTATTCCACTGAACATTTATCTTTAATAGTTTATGAGAACTCAGCAAAAGACCAAATTTTTTTACTCCTTATGAAAAATAGAGGTGTCGTCGATACTATGAGCATACCCTTTGACCAATTTGGGATATTGTCAATACCGACATGCGTGCAAGAATGTGCAATGTTTCTGCCAAATTTAAAATTGATGCCGGCCAGGGGAATGTTTAAAACAGACATTATGCGGACGAACGGATCGACAGGCGGAAAGGCAGACCGACAAGCTTAAATCGATTTAAAATTTGATACTGCTTAAAACTATATAAACTTTATGGGATCTCTATTGCTTCCTTCTGGGCGATGCAAACGTTTTGACAAAATAAATATACCCTTCGTCCTTCGGTGATGGGTATAAAAAGGAAAGTGAGAAAATAGTGTTCACACTTATGTCTTTATTTTACGTTACCTTTCAAAAGTAATAGATGTCTGTAAATGTTTTTATTGCGGCTATGCGTTGGTTTGGAACGAATATCATTAGAATGCAGACATTTGCTTGTGCATGTATAAAATGTGTTTCAAAATTTTTAATTATTGCACTTTAAGTGCCAGTTCAATTTTATAATTAGATCTGTAAGCTTAAATGATCACGACAAACGAGTAAAAGGATCCTGGGCAGGTATCCTCGCCTATTGGCTTATTAGAAAGACATTTGTAACATCTTCCCAAATTTGCCGTAAATCACTTAATCCATCTCAAAGATTAATCAGTCAGTTTTCTCTAAAAATTTCCTAAATACTTTGCGCCTCAAATTCGTTCAATTTTTCCTATGGATTTATGCATAGACGCAATACATAAACATATCTTTGTGAAATTTGGCATGAATTCAAACCATTTCATGGCATAGCTTCTAAGCTGTGCTAACTCACTTGCAAGTAATACAAAAAAAGCTAAGAGATTTCTATTCAGACATACTAAGCAGCGTACGTCCAAGTTTCGTCTTACAGTAAATGTACTTCTATTACTTATTTTTATTTATAGCTGGTGCAGCGCAAATTGCCGGAGTTCAATTAACAACAATACAAAATAGAACGGATGGTACATTCTGTCTCGATGAGTTGCAACGTAAAATGCATCTTTACGACGATTGTCATGAGCCCTTGACATCACTGGTTATAGTAGAGAATACCCATAATATGTGCGGTGGTAAAGTTATACCCTTGCGATGGCTAGATGAATTGATTAGCATTTGTAAGAATAAAGAGATGACAAATGGTAAAACTATTGCCCTGCATATGGACGGTGCACGGGTTTTTAATGCCGCTCAATATCTAAACGAATCGGTCGCACGTATAGCACGAGATTTTGATTCAGTATGCTTTTGCCTATCGAAGGGTTTATCGGCACCGGTAGGCTCAGTGCTATTGGGTTCAAAAACATTCATTGCCGAGTAAGTACTATTTGATAAAAGATTCAAACCCGTTATCTATCTAACTGAGAGGAGTAAGTAAACACGCAACATCAATGATGCCAGACAAGAAGAATAATACAAAGCGTAGAGAATAAATTTCTATCAATTAATTACAGCATCGTAGCGAAAACTAAAGTTGAAAAATATTTCTTTACTTTTAGACGCCTCAAGCAATTTTTTTTTCTTTTATGTTATATGTATGTAGTTTAAGATGTTTTGTATATGAAGTGTATATTTCACGTACAAGTATACAGTATAGCAATCCCCTATAGAATTGAACTATCTGTGTACATAAACTCATATGAAAAATTTCTACTACGAATGAATGAATGAATGTTCGCCGTTTCTACTAATAGTCGAGGGTATTTGTAATTTTACGTAGCTCAGAGCTCATTACATCATATCGGACGAGTATCAACATTATTAGTTGGTTTGTAACGCCAAAAAGTAAACAAATACTTTAAATACCATTTTCTGATCGGATTCACAAATACTCCTCCATCCGTCCGTGCAATCATTTAACGGCGAATTGCTTACAATAGTAGAAATTTGCATAAAACTATTAAAACCGAAGCGTATTCTCTTCTTCGCTTGCTTTATATTATAATTAGATTAACCGTAAGCTTATACACGGAATGAAATGGAAATGAAAGATTCATTTAGACGGGAAAGGATTAAAATCTAAAATGTTTACCTCGTGTTTATTTATTACACTCGCAAAACCCAAGTTGCCAACACGTATATATTCGTTTCACGAGTTGAAATTTTTTTCTTTTTTTTATCATGCAGAGCTCGTCGCCTTCGCAAGGTATTGGGTGGTGGTATGCGTCAATGTGGAATTTTAGCGGCTGCTGGGCTGGTGGCACTCGAAAAAATTGTGCCACTCTTACCTGAAGATCACCGCAGAACGAGGCGTATTGCACAAGGTAATCCATTATAAATGATGTGATTATTCGCCTCCAGATTACTCTAAAATTTGCTCTAAAAAATTATTGAACATAAGGTGGAGTTATTCCGGCACGCATATACACATTTCGATATATTAGAAGCTTTCAATTGCCGAAAGATGACTTGCCAAGGAATGAGCACATTTTTTGTATATGAGTATGCGTGTGGGCACCTAGCATTAATATTATCAATCAAATGCCGCCGAAGGAATTACTGATTACTGGTACACAAGCGTTAAACTTTAGAAAGAAAACGTGTAAATTTTGAGAGGAAAATGCCCTTAAAAACTGGTCGGTCATCATTGAGGTTATGTCCGATCCCTATAGCCATGTCAATATTATCGAGGAAATACTCACAAATTCCTAGAGAAAAATTTAATAAATCTTAAACCAGCAATAGATGGTTATCTACCCAATCCGGTCCATCAAATGCACATCATAAACGATTAAGCCAAATCGGAACTTTAATCGAAATCTATAGCTCAAGCTTTGAATACCGCGTCAAGCTATACATCTGAAGAATGAAAATAGTCTTCCAAAATACATTCCCAATACTGGCACTTTCCTTGTACTGATCCCTTTGTCTGTTGGAACCGCTTTATAGTTCTTTAAAAGAAGAAAAGGAACATTTTGAGAGAATAAACCTTTCGTAGATTCGTTTTTGAAACGTAGTTTAAGTTCGTGTAACTCACAGGTGACAGTGGATGCTCCTTCAAAATGCCAGCTTAAATTTCATTCTTGACCTATTATTATTATTATTATTATTATAAATTTAGTCAGAGAATAAATTCTAAGATTAAAGTCTTAAAGCACTAGCATGTAAGGCTTTCGGCTTTATTAAAAACCCTAAACGTTGGGACCCACGCCCATTGAGTTGCTAATCGAGACTCTTGCCTACTCGGCCACTCAGGCGGGTCATTCTTCACCTAACTTGCTATACTATGTAAACTTGTCCTAATTTGTCTGAGGAAGAGAGAGAGAGGTAGAGAGAGAGAGAGAGAGAGAGAGAGAGAATAAAAAGTAATATACGTTAATATTTTCGCGAATCATTATGCAATATATTAAAATCTTAATTATCTGAATACTTTGAGGGAGTTAATGAGTTCAAATTTCGAAAACTTTTCTTTGCTTTTATGCTTGCATTTTAACGTACATCTAATTCCTGATGGGGGTTTTTTTTCTAGTTTTCTAGCTGCCTTCCGTGGGATTTCATTTTAATTTTCATCCCATTAAGTAAAGGCAATCGATTAGCAAGAGATAGATTCATATTATTGAACATTAATTTCATACATTCGTATAGCCAATCGATCATGTAGATGAGCATGCATAAGATCTTAGGATCTGATGCTGGCTATCGTAGGTAAAGCACTTAAGTTGAAATTGAAATGAAAATTGCATTTCTTATTAAAGGGAATATAAGAAGTCGTGGTAATCTTTTAAAAACACTATTGAATCAATTATTTTGTATTTTTCTTATGCTATTTTTATTGCTTTTCTGGCAAAGTCATCTGTTCTGGCATTATGTTTCTTGCTTCACGGTGTGCTGCATAAATAAAACATTTTTCATTATGTTCACAGGTTAAGCATAATGATATTTTGTTCAATTTGTAATTGTTGCTGTTATTTTAGCTCTACGGGATATTATGTGAAATGTGCTTTTAACTATGCTAAAGCTATTACTATATTTTCTGTTTTCTGTTTACAGCCATAAATAACTTACGTAGCAGTAACTTTAATGTCGATTTGGATAATGTTCATACCAACATATTACTTATTCATATGATAAATCCTAAAATAAGTGCTAGCAGTTTCGCGAAACGTTTAGCGGAGGTGACGCAAAAAGAATTGAATGAAAATATAACCATTACCGATGAAACAGGTCAAGAAATGAGAGGCATTCAATTGAAAGTTAGCTCACGAGATTGGACTTATGCAAGAATTGTTCTCTACAATCAAATTAGTGATAAGGATATAGAATATGCAATAAAAAAGATTGAATATGTTATTCAGGAATATGATCATAATTTAGTTTTAGGTAAGATTTGTTAAATTAAAAGCCTGATACATATATATATATATACTATAAATCATATCGCGCATATGATGAGCGCATTTATTGTTCGTAGAAATAAATAAGTTTTTAATAAAAATAAAAAAAAGACGGCCATGGCCACGGCTGACCTTTTAATACCCTACGCTACTTTGCTTAATATCATTAATAGTTATTCTTTTTAGAATAAAGTCTTATATGGAAAGTAGTCGAAAAACTCATCCGATCCTTTATATGGGGTGCAATCCAAAAAATATACCCAAGTGGTGCAAGTTCAGTAAGGTTAATTATTATATCAAATTATTATTATGAACATCGCGAAATATTGAAAACCAAATCCCTGTTTTATATGTAAAGATTCACCATCTATAAGAATGATTATATAGCAATAACGTTCGTCCTTAGAACAAAACAACATCGATGTACCAAAATTCATCAAAATTTTTCAAAAATTTGCGTTCTTTAAACACAAGAATACAAGAAGGACAGATCGTCAGACAAGTTTAGATCGGACAATTTTCTGGCCAACCTGAATATACTTTTGCTTCACAAGTGATATAACATATAACTGCAAGAGTTTTCCTTTATTTCCAGCAAATATTTACGGTATCAATAATGATTTCCAGTAAAAGATTTTCAGCAAAGAAAGATGAACTTTCGGTATTGAACTTATTTCGAATGTCAATCTTAGTTTTTTGTTTACGATAAGCTTCCATTTGTTTTCGTGAAATACATTTTTATGAAATCATCAGCAAACGTTCAGCAAATTCGTTGAGTTGATGACAGCCTTTGCCCTGTTTAAACATGTTCGTCTTATCTATATGTACTTAGGGCGTAGATGCCTTCAATTATCTTTTCTACGATAACTGAATAAGGTCAATTGGAATAAAAAAATTTTATATAACAAGAATATGACATGACTTTTAAATTAATAATAGTTTTCTATAATCGTTTCCTTACAAGGTCTTTATTCCGGAATATCCTATAAAATCTTATTTCATTTTTATTTTATTTCGAAACTATTTGATCATTCATCTTTTTTATTCAGACAACTCGGCTTCTTTTATAACAACTCAAACAAAGAAAAAGACACTTCCGAACACCTTTACCACAACTCTCAGTTTACTAAATCGCTATTTATTGCTTGTTCCGTAGCGAAATGAGAAAGAGATTTATAGCTTTCAATATAGATTAGGATTTCAATTTTAAAACCGGAACAAAGCACCGACAAATTCACAAATTTATAACCGACTAAATAAAAAAATTAACGAAAGACTTGTTAACTTGCTTTCACTGTTTCCAATGCATTTACTATAGTCCTAACTCTCTTAGGGCATATCCGGCCTGTTCATCCTAGCGCTAAGAGAGTATTGCCACCGACTTTTGTTAATGTGGCAAAGTTTTCAATTTAACTAATACACATACTAACGGCGTAAAATTGTTAACAAAATGTGAATAGTCAAGGGTACAATAACCTTTCCATTAGAAAATAAATTTCTTTAATTTACGATACCTATTACAAACGCGCCAAATTTAATAAATATTTCTTTGCACAAATAAACCAAAACAGTGCTTACTCTATGTCGCATTTTTCTAGTAACACTAGCGATTTACTCTTAATTTGGTGATTTTTCTTATCTATTGCATGTCTGCCATTGTAATAAAATCAACCATGTTTGTCGATAAATCGCTGTAAAAGAACAAATCGCGGCTTGTCTAAAACTGTGCGATGTATAGATAGCAATGTGTTTACTTGTTCTTTATTGATCATGTTTATCAGCTTGTGAAGAAATTTCCAATATTGCAATTTGTGAATGTGTAGGATGTTGGCGAATGGGTAAAACTCCGATTCTAGTCTTACAGTGAACAACCGGCAAGACCTAGAAGTAAAGTAAAAAATAGAATTAACTTCCATGATAGATAATTGCAACCAAGAATTAGTTTTGCAGTGATATTTTAATTAGTCGCTCAACACCCTTTCTAGGTTTCAAATTTCCTTCGTTCCGTTATAGTCAGCTGATTGGGTTTCTATAATAATAGTAAATGTTAAGTAATATGCATTATTACTAATGTACTTATTTTGCTTTTTTTTTTCATAGTCTAATACCCAAAAGGGAGCTTCAGAAACCCTACAAATTAGATATATTCTTGGGGAGATAAACTATGCTTTAATGGGGAGCATAGATGTGCCGAAATTCTCACCTCCCAGTGGTGATCCCCGGGCAACGGCTTCGGCCGGCTAAGAAGAGTTCAAGGTTTTGGGCTACTAACTCGGCAACGAGTTTCTGAGAGATGGTGGAGGGGTTGGCTGGAAGATGAGCTCTTCACTCAATAGCTGGTTACTACCTAGGAAATTTCTGAATGGGTTTAAGTACGTTGAAGGTAGTAATCTAGCGAGTGCATGGTAGATCGCCCCTGCCATGTCAGTGCAATACCCGAGACCTATATATCTCGAAGAAAAATAGTTCATGGTGTTGGCAACCAAGGAAGTATGGTGGATCCGAAGCAAGTACGGTTGTTTTTAACATCCTCCCAAAGTATGCCAAAGGCTTTGTAAAACAAATTGGCAGCCACGCGGGTCAGAAGGCTCGCCTCACAAAGCCACGTATGCCTGCGAGTGTATGATGGACTTTGTTCATAAAGTCGTTGGAATTAAAATTTTCTCAAGAGAGAGTTAATTATGCAAAAAGGAATTGACTGATGGCCTTCCCTTTGGCCTATTAATTAATAAACTCTCTTGCGAATTAATACATGCAAAAATTAAAAAAGGGATTTGACGGAAAGGCTTTTTCCCCTTTTGCCTTACTTTTACTTTTGAACATATGTCACGGATGCCTGCGGGTAATGGTGGTAATTGATCAACGACGCCGTGGAAGCCCTATGGCGGAAGCGAGTGCAATTTTTGTCCTTTTTGAACGCATATCGTTGATCAATTTGTGAGTCCTGACTGCTTGGGTGCGGCCCTTTGGGGAGTACTCGTGGTGGTTGTGGTTGGCAAGTTCCTAGCGAAAGTGGAACAATTTGGAGTGCAGCTAGGCCTCACCACTGACCAGAGTGGGGTTTATTGTTCCATACACAATAAACCGTTCTGGACTCTGCTGTTGTTTAGGCCCCTACTCTGTGGGGATTGTCTAACTCGCCAGGGGGCATAGTACGCTTAAAGTGGCTTGGGCCACCGTGGGGTTAAGCCTTTCAGGCAGGAACCCACGTTAAACCCTTGCTACAAATTCTGTCATAAGCTATTTGTTAAACGTAAGTTAAAAAATCAATTGTGACCCTTCAATTGCATTTTGTAAACTGCTCTAATAGGAAAAGAAATAAATTTAATTTTTCAATTTTACCAAGCTATCATTGTAAGTTATCCAATAATATAATATATTTATACTAGAAACTACTATTTATTATTCGGCATCATAAAATAATAGTGGCGCTAAAAGCTTTTCATAATGATGTGAGAGGATTAAATGTGTCACAGTTAATGCGGCATAGAGACTATTTTGCAAGAATGATGTGACTGGTTTGCCTACAAAATTCAAAATGTAATAAACTGACCCTAAAGGATGAGATTTATATTCATCTTGTCATAACAATGTGTTCCATTTTTAATAAACAATATAAAACACATATGTGCCCATTTATCTTCTAGATATAAAATCAAATTTTTGATTCATACGAAAATTTATACGTATTAACTAGCGATTATAGCTCTTTAAACAATCGATTTAAGCGGAACGTAGTTTCGATTTGATTTAGTTACAAAAAAGTATATTATAAATGATATCTTTTTACAATATTGTTTTTAATTACATTAATCGACAGAGAAATTTCTCGATCATGGTCACGTACCATGTTATTATAAATGTATATATAATTCAAAAAATGTATCTAAAAAAGCACTAATTGAAAAATTTAAGCAATCATATAAGTGAATAATTTATATATGAAAGTTCTTTTCATCAAACAGCATTCAACGCATTACTTGATGCTACTGAAAATATAAAAAGTTGAAGTCCATTTTAATTATGGCCCAAAAGAAAATTCGAGAATTTATTCCCCTAAATTAATCATGATGCAATCAATTTCCAGAAGAGCGTTGCGTTTACCGTAATAAACTGATACACTACTTTTAGATATTAATTATGTTAGTTTGTGTGTTGTTCCTTATCTAAGAAATATCTGTCTTAATTACAAAAGAACGATATTTTTTTAATGTTAAACACACATTACATCTCAGGCTCTTACAAGATAGCGTAACGATTTATTCAAATGATGTATCGTAATCGATATTTTAATTATAACTCTATGCAACTGGACAGTAACGCACAGCTAACCGGTTCACATTACACATTACGATTCACTCCCCACCCCGTTGATAGGGAAAATTCATATTTACTAACCCCGCTTAATGATTTGATGCTACTGCACTATATTAACCAGTTGACTGCATATGACAAATATATACATCATGATCCATTCACCACTGGAGGTAGAGGGTACATTAAATTAGTGCGGACGTATGTAACGCACAGAAGGGCTCACCTTTTATTATATCGATCGATTTAGAATCATAATATGAATTAATGTAAGCCTGTTTGTCCATCTAAAGTCTGTCCATGTACCTTTGTGTTCATGCTAAAGGTCGCAATCTTTGAGATATTTTGATGAACTGTGACGTATTTTGACCAATGGACAAACGCTATTGAAACATTGCAACTTTCAAAACTTCTCCTCAAAACTGGCTACGTAGTAGTATCTCGATATTCTAAACTAGTATGACAACTTTGGATCGAGTGGACCAATTTTTGGACCCCTCTCATATAACGAAAACTGGAGTTCTTACAACAAAGAAGTATAATTTTCAATGTTTCTATGTTAACATAAAAAAATTAACTATACCAGATCTGGGCAACTAGTAGAGAAGAAAAATCTAAGTTTTAATATGTGGTGATGAAATATGAATAGTAATTTCATACAAAAATAAGAATTGTGTGGCGTAGAGTATTTAATAATCGGCCATGCTCTACTATAATATTCTTACTTGTTTAGAATATATTTTGTCAAGCCGTTTCATTATAACCTAATTTCATATTAGATATACGTTGTGTTCGATGAGTATACGAGTATATCGTTAAAGAGATGAATAAAGTTAAATGGTTGAAAAAAAATTGAATTGAAATATTTTATGGTTGTTATTTCAAAGAAATAGAAAATTATCACAATTTTGATAATTATGACTCCTTTAACCAATTCTACGAAACCTTCTGTCAAGAATAAAAAAAAAATTCGAAATCATTTAGGATATTCACATCTCCAATGGATATTACTAAGCGTTACGTAGCTTTGATCTAATGATCAAAATATTCGAATATACAGGCGTCTTTCACTTAATACGAATAATTTGTTTCGTGCTGTATTGAAATCCTCTCCCACAACCATCCTGTTATACGAGAAACTCCTCCATTTTAGCCGATTTTCATCATTAATTATTTATGACCGCATCATTAATATTCACAGAAGATTTTAGTACTTGGACCTAGTCTTCTTTGATAAAAATTTCCATGCCAAGCTCAAGCAACTAACAAAAGTTTGTCAAAAATTGGCCCTGAATGAACGAAAATGGCACATAAAGGAATAAGGCCCCTTAAATTTTACGGTTAACTGCAATGCAAAAAAAAAGGTACAGTTTTACCTAATTTGATCAAAAGTTAGTGGGAATATTTAATCTTTAATTAATGGGCAATAGATTTGTTTGACTCTATTCCAAATCCCCCAAAGTTCTTATTCATTTTATTCACCTTAGAGGACTAAAATATCTCTGAATTTGCCATTATCGACAAACAGTAACCTTTGAGAGACTTTGTGGAATCTGGAAGTGAAAAAGAAAGTTTATAAGCAACTATGCCTGAGGAAAAGAAGTAATTAATGCAACGATACCGCTTAGAAATGTTAAGAATCCCGGAATAGTTCCGCCTAAAACTGTAAGCAATTGCGACTGTCATTACGCTTAACGCTTAAAACATTTTTGTTTCTTCTTCGAATTGAGATTGATTCTTCGATTTTACAATATATAATTTTTCCATATAAAATTTCCAAAGGGCGACTCAAGGCGGGTGACATAAACTAAGTCTACCTCTATCGCTCATCAAATATAAAGTAGACATCGAAATTTTCACATTTAGATCTATCCAGTGCAAACAAGAACAGTCAACAAGATATGCACACTTAGAGAAAATAAAACAAGTAAAAATGCTGCAATCGGGCCAAGACGAATCTATTAAGTATCCTACACCACTTCGGTTAATTAATAATACATCAACAAATATACTTTGATCTATGTGATCCAAATTCCCTAACGTTAATTTATCAAGTATAGGTAGGTTTCAATCGAGTTCTTATATGGATTGGGATCCAAAAAAATAGATCTATGTGGCCCATATTCGGTAGGGTTAATTTTTATGCCTAATTATTGTAAACGTATTGAAAATTTGCCATTTTTATGGGTACGGTTATAAGCCAAGGAGTTCAAAAAATTGCCACTTGCGATCCAAGGTCTGTACACCGAAATATTTTTACTAAGTGATTTTATCGCGGAATTCTGCAAATTAAAATATTTTTTTAATGACAACTTATCAAAATAAGGCATTATATGGCCAGCGATCGAAAAAGTTGATCGATCGGAACCATTTTCGATAAGATTCACGGTTGGATCAAAACACGTTAGCGTACTAAATTGCAACAAAATCTATTCAAATTTTCAAATTTCGACCTCTACGCTGAACTTAAAAATATACAGGCAGCTATCAGGTGGACGGATGGGCAGACAAACTCAGTACTAGAAAAGTTGTGTATGTCTAAAGTCATTCTGGATGTTAAAAATTAAAAATATATCCTATGCCCCGCGTGGTATAAAGTATACTTATAAAAAGCAAAAAATTCTTCTTGTTTTTTAATCACCAGGTTAAGCGACTTAGCAATCCACCGTTTAACCAAAGCCAAATAAAAACAAGTCTTTTATATTTAATTACCTTTGTATATTCCTTTGCAAGGTAGAGACAAAAAAAAAATTATTATTGTTAATAATTCACTTCATCATGCTTTTTATAGATCTCTACTGCTGACCGACAATGGTTTAACATCTTTATAAAGTTAGCTATCGATTTTATTTTTCTCAGCTTGTGCTAATACAAAATACAAATATTGAACTATATTTGGTGCACTTCTCAAAAAAATGCTGAACAAAAAGAAAAGTAAACATACTCGAATCAACCATAAGTGAATGCTGTACCTCTTAAGATGTGTAGATATACATATGCTATCTCAAACTTCTTAAATACCGCAGTTGATGATGGTTTTATGGTTAAACAACTTAATCAGTTGAAGTTGCGCTTTATTCATTTATTCTACTATTTATTACTTACTGGCTGTTGTTGTGCTTCGGTGAATCTTACTAAAATCTCGATTATATTAAAATTTTATACGTCTTAAGCGTAATTCGTTATAAATGAATTTTATAAAATTATTAGTAATAGTATTCATTAGATTTATGATTGCGAATGAGATGAATAAAACTAATTGGGCTTTTGCTAAATTGCAAATCGGTACGAATTTTACAAGGACTACGTCACATCATCAAAAAAAACGAAGTTTAATTTTTGAAAATGGAGGTATAATAAAGGTAAAGAAAAGTTGGTTTTCAACTTGATAAAAAAAAAACAAGTGAGAAGATTACGGTCGGGCTAGGCCGACTACTAAATGCTCTACATTGTCTGAACATAATTCATACTTTTGCCGTAGGGCACAAAAGGCTTACTTTCTGTAAGAACGGTTGTGACCAAAAGATTGATAAATAGAGAAACGTGTTCAAAATTCAGGTTTTGGATAAACTTTCATAATAACTTAAACTTTTCTACCCTAAAAAATAAAAATATTCAGCGAAACCTTCATATAAGATAGAATCCAAAAATAGGCGTAAGCGGTCCAAATTTGGAGCTGTAAATTACTTCAATTACGAATATGACATAAGTTTCATCATAACATATTAAAACTTCGATTTTTTCGTCCTAAAAAACGACAATTTTCGTGCAAATCCTCTTATAAGATAGGATCTGAAAAACAGGCGTAAGTTGTCCAAATTTGAATTTTTTTTCCCCAAAAATTACGAATATGAGCTAAGTTTCATCATCACATATTGAAATTTAGATTTTTTCGCCCTAAAAAATAAAAATTTTCGCGCAAACCCTTAATTAGGATACGATCCAAATATAGGCGTGCGTGCTCCAGATTTTGTAGAGTTCATTTTTATATCAAATTACTTTTATGGGTCAATTTTCATCATAACATATTAAAATTTAGAATTCTCTGCGTTATAAGGAAATTGCTTATGCAGGGTAGGAATCAAAAATAGGCCGGGACGTTTCAAATTCGGTACAGTTAATGTTTTATCTTAAATTGCTCTTATGATCTGATTTTCATCATGAAGCATTCAAAGTTAGACCTTTTTGTCGTTGTTTGAGAGACAGTTCGACAAATTGCTCCAGCCGCTCCAAAGTTTTCATAACGATTTAAAATGTCGGAGTACTATTACTTAGCCAAAATTCAAATTCAATTAAAAAGTTTTATTCCCTACAATGACTTTTCAAAATAGAAAGTTCGTCTTTGAGTCAAAAATATTCCAAATGTCTTTAAGAAACCTCAAAAATTATCACCTGTCGGGCGAATGCATGCAAGGAAGATGAAAAAATGCACAGAAAACACTAGATCAATTCAAGAAGTAGTCAGAAACTCACTCTGAATAGAAAAAAAATTTCGGCCTCCAGAAATTGTTTCAGAATCGATCGTTCTAATAGAAGATTAGCCTATCTTAAGTCCCTCTGGCTGTTTCATATATCCGCACAAACTTAATATATACTCGTACAATAAGCAGTGTGAAGTATAACCAGTGTGCTTTGGTACTATCTTATGGATACGTATATGTTTTCATTTAGCCCGAAAAGGAAAACTGAAGCCACTTATGGCACGTGAACAGTAAAATGATAATATACGGAATTAGGAATGTTGACTAAAATCAGAAGCAACAATAGCAAATGCGATAGTAAGGTATTTGGCTTAAAAATCAAACTCTTGCATACTCCCTAACACATAGACTACATAAAGAAATATAGGTTTTCATTTTTTACTTTTTTATTGCGACCAATCATTCAGAAGATGTCTCGTACACGCGTTCTATATACGATGATCATCAGAAAAGATTGCGGAATGAGATAGAGAAGAAGAATGGCCACAGTCTAAACGGTGAGCGTCATGTCTTCACGGACTAAACATTGACAAAAAGCGCGAGAAGCGATTTGCGAATCGGGACTCTTAACCGTTCGGTTATACATCAGCGTAAGCGACAGAAGAAAAGCAAAAGGAAAAAGAACCAAGAAAGAGAAAAAGGTAGAAAGCTGCTTGCTTGTATCGTCTGGCTGAGTATTAGAATCACAAGCACAATTTTTCGCCTCGAAATCCCGCATTTCAGCTTCAGATGCTTCTTCTCCATTGCAGAAGGGATGCGTAACTCGTTGGCATATTATTTGTCAGTGAAAGTGAGTTCAAGAAGCAATGAATGTTTTTCTTCAAATGTTAATTGTGTACAATCAGGCGTAGTAGACAACTGCTGGAAATTTGTTCACACTCAGAGATGTAAATGGATTGCATCCGCCATCTCCACGAGACATGGTTTCAACCCCGCAGTGATATGAAAATTAAAATTGGGCCGTTGACGACGACAAAAGTTGCCCATCCGTAGTATACAAAATCCTTACCGAAAATCGTATAAAATTCCTAACGGTTCTGCAAAGGCCTTTTAACGGTTAATGTTCATTTTATATTGTATTCTTTTAGTCATCCAATATCGGCCATAGCCAATGACAAACTTGACTTAAATAACATAGATAGCAACTTGTCCAGAAGAAGCACGAGGAAAGTTTTGAAATTGCAAAGTCGAGAATAGTAATTCGCAAACAGTTTCCAATACACTTTCGTTGTTCGTCACTAACTTTATTCTAAAGTTTTTACGCCCATTACGAAATAGAAAGAGGAAAGACTTTCAACATATGTATGTTTTTTGCCAACTTCAAAATCTAATCAAAGTTCCCAATAATCTTGAACTTTGATGAATATTTTTATACCCTACACTACTTGCGTTACATGGTATATTAAGTAGGTAACACACAGAAGGGCTTAAGGTAGACCCACCTCTTATTATACCGATCGATTCAGAATCATAATCTAACTTGGACTAAGCCTGTCTGTCCGCCAGTCCATCTAATGTCAGTTCGCGTAATTCTGTATTCAAGCTACAGGTCAGAATTTTTGAGAAGAACAGGGGAGAATTTTTAAAAGAATAAAGAGGTATAGGGTATTGAATAGATGCCTTGACCGACTATAATGTTGTTACTTGTTTTTTTTTCAAATATCCAAACAGATATCATCATTCACCTACTGTACAATATTTCATGCTTACTTAGCTTGTTATTGGACCAATTATTTCTGTGCCCTTAGAGGATCCGAACAATTGGCGTTCATTGATATGTCTTTATAATTTCCATATCGGTGAATATATAATACCAACTAAACCTACTTATCCATGGGATAAATGGAGTGATAACGAGAGTAAATCATTTAAAAAATCAAAATTATATAGAAAAGCTGTCGATGCTGAAGAACCAGATGGCTCGCGGGAATTTTTCTACACAGCATTGGAATATTTTATAAACCTTCATACGAATAAACGACATGGACGAGAATGTTTGTTACGTTTAATTTGTGAAAATTCTCAAATTAAATATCATATTGGATTGTTTTCGGAAATTTTGAATGTTATCTTAACGTAAGTTCAAGTAAAATTTATAAATTCTCTTCAAATTTCAATGATCGATAATTTTTTTTCTCTCCATTCTTCAGACCCGGTAAAGAAAATCTAAATAAATCTTATCGGCAGGCAGTCGAGTTTGGACAATTGGGTGTAGATTGCGTAAAGTATTATGCGAAATGTCCTCCAGGAGATAATTTCCTCGATCACCTTATACACGATTATGTATGAAAATTATATTTGGGTGACTGTGAGTCGTAGACCCCTTTGGCAAATTTTGAGTTGTAAATTGGAACAAACATTTTTAATAAAAGAAGAAAGTAAATTAAAACGGAACTATATACGTAAATGGCAACCAATAGACACCTTACACCACTTATATATACTACGAGGGGTCTAAGTCATCCCTCGTTTGATCTAATATATCCTGCGTCTCGGAAGGGGAAATGTTAGGTTAAACTAGGGATAAGATAAAATCTCTATATTAAGCGGCATGACAGACGACGGGTTTGGGAGGCCCAATTAGAAAACAGCTGTCTTCTGATTGCGATATAGTAAGGTGGTCAAAAGACAACCTTGAAGGAAGTCCGAATCAGGTAACCTTCCATGGCGTCCGAGTCTAGGAATCGAGAACTTCGGTCTTGTTTTATCTCTTCTACTCCGTGCAGCCAACCGCCTACGCTTAGCTTTCTACTAGTAATAAACTTGAAGTAACTTCTTAACTTAATTAAAATTAGACAATTGAAAACAACCCGAACTGTTTGCTCTTGCAATTTGAAAGCCGAAAGCGCTAGTAAAGCAGGTTGCGAACGAGAAAAAAAAAATTCTTATGGAAGAGGCTGGCGTCCGACGAACATATCCCGGCGAAAAATTTCGGCCAACCGGTGGACTTATTTATTATTTTTCAGTTACTTCCCTCATAAAAGACTAGAAATGAGACTCACCATAGGAGGGCTTGTTTTTGTCGACAATCCCTGCACATAACACGGTCTAAATAACAGGTCTCTGTGGTTCAAATTCCCTGCGATTTATTTATAATATGCTGCTGGCCTACTATTACCCATTTTCATCCTAAAATATTACAAGTTACGCCTTTTTGACGTATAAGATTCAATATTCCATAGCGAGTTTTGCTTATTGTATCAAATTATTCTTACGAACCGATTAATAAAATATCAAAAATTGTACATTTTTACTATATAAACCATGGTTTTTCTTTAGAACCTTTATATGGGATAGAAGCTAAAAAATAGAAGAGTAAACTTAAATTGCACCTTTGTCTGCCCATCTGATGTCTGTCCATGTACTTTCGTATTTAACTTATAGCTCGCAATTTTTGAGATATATGATGATATTTCGTACACTGCCGTGCTTTGCCCGAAGGACAAACACTGTTGAAAATGGTTTGGATCGGTCCACCTTTTTACTATGGTTTTCAAAATTTTTCAATAAAACTCGCTGAGTCATAGAATCCGATATTCCAAATTCGTATGAAAAATTTGGTTCAAGTAGGGAAATTTTTTGAAAGCTCTGTTCCTGCGATAATTGTATCTTTATAAGGCAAAAAGGGCCAATTTTTAAGAATTCATAGTGAAAACTGGTTCATAATAGTAAATTGGTAACGATCTCCATCCTACTTAATTTTGACCACGTAGGTGTATTTATGGGAAACCAACGCATATAAGGGTTCTTAAGAAATATAAATCATTACATGCCAGAAAGGCGTACTTCTTCATGTTTTATGACGAAAATTTTTTCTTAATAGTAATTTGACATAGAAATTATGCAAAACTTGAGCCAAAAAAGGACCCACGTGAACCATGAATGGCAAATCTTTTAGTAATTTTTTAATACTTTATGATGAAAATTGATCTTTAATAGCAATTTAGTAACAAAATTAACGGAAGGCAATTCTGGTCACACAGAACTATTTTTTATGCCTGAACATATATAAATTACGAAAAGCAAGCCCTCATATTTTCTGGTTTTTCAAAATCGAAACTGAAAAGTAATAAAATTTTTAGTAAATAAATTAAGTTTGTTAATTTTGAATTACGTTTGGGAAATTGATGTGTAATTTTTGGTATATTGTTACCAAGTTAATAACGAAGTAGGGTATCTAATAGTCGGCCTTGCCTTGTTTTTTATGTAACGGCTTTTCAAAATGAGACGTTATGTGGGGAGTAGTCGAAAAAGTGGTCCGACCCAAACCATTTTCAATGTTATTCGCTCTTGACCCAAAACATGTCGATATCACAAATTTTATGATTTTAATTGACCAATAAAATAAGGGGAAAATTACGGGCTGTAAGTTGAACACAAGAACGCACGTGCATGCATCAGAAGGACTGACGGACGGATAGACAAGCTTAGAAAGAAACCGAAAATGATTCCAAATCGATAGGTATAGTAAAGTAAGCGTCTATCTTAAGTCCTTCTATATGTTATATACGCACGCGCAAACTTAATACCATGTACTTGTACCATAAGTAGTATGGGGTATAAATACGATCTCAATTTTCTCGATATTATTCAATAAATACATTTCCAATATGTTTGAAAACCAATTAGAAACTATAATT